AAAACATTCATTAGGCCACATAAATAACATATTTGAACATAACATAGCTATTGATATTTCTTTATTTATTAAACTTATAGTAGCATATATTACCTATAAATTTTTTTATTATATTTATCAAAAATCATAAAATAACAAATAAAATTATAATATATAATGTATGAAATATATTTTTATATATATAATATATAAGCATTGAAATACAAATGTAACTTACTTCATCACAGGAAAATCCTTTAAATAACTGTACACATTTAATTTTTTCTATCAATTCTATTAATATATTATTAATATCAATTTCATTTGTAATAGCTGATTGAATAAGTTTAATATTAAATTTTGATATTCTAAAATATCAAAAATTTAAATTATTTATAAAATTTAATAATAATTATAATGTACATAAAAATTTTTAACTTAAATTTAAAATAAATTTTTTTAGAATACATACAATTATTATATATTTACCTATAAATAATTCCATTTTTTGTGATAAGATATATATTAATATATTCTTCAGATTCATTTTGTAAAAATATTGTTATTATTTTATTTTCAGTTGTTGTAATATTTCTACATATAAAAAAAGAATAATTTTATAAAAGATATAATTTTTAAAAATATAAATATATATAAAACTTACTTTGTAAAGATTATTTGTCCCTTATTTAATAAATGAAGACAATATAACATTCCATTTGATAATGTAACAAATAAAAATATTCCATCATGAGAAATGCAATAACTTGTTATTAATAATTCAAAACTAATATTTAATAATATTTTTTCACATGTTTCATTTTCAAATATAGTGATTGATTTATCAATTAATACACAGACCCTTGAATATTGTATAGATGCTAAAATATTTGGTTCTTGTTCTACCTTACAAATATAAAATATTTTTTATATTTAATATATATATATCATATAAAAATTTTTTTTTAATATAATCAATGCTTAAGATATAAATATATTAATAAAATAAGAATATTAAATTAATATATAAAATTTAAAGAATAATAACATTTGATTATAATTTGATTATTAAAATACATTTGAAATATGAAATTTCAAAATAATCAGGTATGCATTAAAATTCGTTAAAGTTTAAATAAAATTGTAAAATACCCTTCCATTTGATTGTATAGTTGCAATAGTAGAAGTTTCATATAACGAGCCATTATTTTCAACTATAGTTCTTGTTCCAAAATTTACGGTTTCTTCCTCTTTATTAAAGCCTGAAACCACTTTATTCCACAACGCCATTTTACCCGCGAAATATACGAAATATTTTAATGTGGGGAATTTTACCATGCAATACCATACTGTTTTATCAACTTCAGAAGTTATGGATTAATCATTTTGATTGGTTTTTATGAAAACTATATACTTTATTCAAATTTGCATAAAGATCGAATATTTTGGCTATTTTTTTTTAACATACCTACATTATATATATGTATTTACAAGTATTAAAAATAATAAATTGTGAAGTTTATATATATAAATATTATAAGTGTATCAAAATCGTTTAAACGCAATTAACTATTATATAATAGTTAATAATATATAATATAATGTACACATTGCATAACGATGTGTTTTTTTGGAGCTTTTTGGAGAAATTTTTTTTGGAACTTAACTTTAGTTCTGCAAACATAAATTTTTAAAAATTTTTTAAAGTTTATTTTTCCGGAAATTTTAACTCTTAAAAAAATTTTTTTTGCAAATTAATAAAATTTGACAAATAAATTTCAAAAGTTATAAAATCAAAAATCATGTTAGGAATTCATGAAATAAGTGCTATGTTTAAGAATGTTTTATTTTATATTGATCGCCATATTGACTCTTCTGATTATCAATGTTTATAGAAAATATAGATAGATATTAAGGTTGATATTATTATTATTGTAAATTTATTTATTATACTTTCGGATTATTTTATATTTTATTTTTGTTTCGCGGAGAGAAAAAGCTTAAATTTGAATAAATACTAAAATATCCCATCGAAATATTATTTAAATATATTGTGAATCATTATGAATATGGTAGATATAAATATTACTATTGTTTACAATATATATATTATAAGAGAAATGGGAACGAACTCTATTTTTTATTGGTCAAGCAATAAGAAAACCAATATGGCGGCCAACGTATAAAATAAAAGATTTTTAAAATTTCAATTCTATGCATTTCTAACATTAAAATTTTTATTTTCAGATCTCTTAATTTAAAATTTATTCTAAATTTGTACCAATTGTAAAAAAAAAATCTCATTACTTAATAAATTTCAATTGGGAACTAAAATCATATTATACTTATATTCATATACTTTTATAAAATAAGGAAGAATTTACATACATGATTTTTAATATACATATGAGATATATGGATTAGTAAGAACAAATTAAAAAAAAATTTTTTTTTCCCATAAAATTTTATATTGATAACAAAAATAAAGTCTATAAAACATATCTATATAAATAAATAATAAATAAAAAAATAAAAAATTTGTAAAATGTTAAATTCATCTTTACTATTTCAAATTTCTCATATAATTTTTCAGTGAATCTATTAATAAATCTATTAGGCCTAAAAATCAAAAATGCTTAATGAATTGGCACTATATTATTTCAATTTTTAATTTTCATAATTTTATTACTGCATGGCTTGTCTGCTTTCTTCCAATGTTATCAATCTTAAATGATTCTTTATTCTTCACTTACAATTTTCTTTTCTTCTACATGAATTCCTTTACATGACATGAATTCACACCAAGAAAATCTATCTTCCTGTCATTCATCTCTTTGAGTTATTATTCCCATATATCTCTACTAGAATTATAATATTACTTTAGAAATAATTTTATGATAAATTATAATTTTATAAATAATTTTCAAATGTTTTCTATTCCATAATAAATAATATAATGCATAATAATATATTATATAATATTATTATTATATAGTAATAATATAATGTAATAATAATTAATATATATATAATTATATATATAATTAACTACTTTAAAGACTTTTTTTATTGAAAAAAATTAATAAAAAAATTTTATTACATATAAAGAAAAAAAAAATATATAT